CTCAAAATGACATTGTTTTGGAGAGCAAGAATTGGGTTTGAATAGATCTGGGCCTGGGTGCTCCATATATGGGTTTTTCACCTTCTTCTTTTCTTCTTTTCTCTTCAACTTCTTTTTCATCTTTTCATTAATAATACAACATGCATAAAAAATTTAACTAATAAATTGATTTTTAACTCAAAATTCAGTTAAATTTATTATAAATTTAAGTAATAAGGATAATAAAATTATGATAAAAATATAGCGCATCAAATACCCCCAAACTTAAATATTTACTTATGCTCAAATAAAAGACTGACAAGAAACCTTTAAGAACATGCTTTTCCACCATGTTCATCTGTTCAGCTTGAAAATATTGAAATTCTATTCCTTTCTTGCAATTAGTGGTCAACTGAAAATTCAAAAGTAATATTGCAAAATGTAAACAAACTATTAGCTCTTACACCCCTCAACAAAATTTGCACAATTTCAACACATAAGTTCTCCCTCTAAGGCTCTACCCCTAATCCATAAATTATGCTCTATTTGACCTTGCCTCTTTACTACTACAAACAAGGTAGTGAATTTAAGACTTTTGATTTACTATTTTTCTTCTTTTATCAAATTTTTTCTTACAATTTATTTCTTTATCAGTGTGTTTTATGCTCCGCCTCACACTTTTACCTCAAAAATATTTTTACAAATGAATATGTTTTACGCTTTATCTCACTCTTTCACTTAAATTATTTATTATATATATATATTTCTTTTTTCCTTAAGTGAGTGTATTTTACACTCCATCTAACCCATCATATATTAGCTAATTTATTTTATTCACTTAAACCTTAGTGACTAACTCAAATGTAAAAATCAAATTCATATTTTCTATGTCATAAGTGTAATGCCTTAGATTATGTTCCTATGGGATTGTTCTTACATCGATTAAATTAAGGGATATAATCAATAATTTATCTAATTATTATTTACAAACATCTCCTCTTGTCTTTTCAAAGTAACCACAATCTTAGCCAAGATAAAATTTCAATTTCACCATGCTTCACTAATTACTTATGATGAAAAGCTTAGCCCTTTAGTGTATAAAAAAGAAAAAATAAAGAATTGAACTCGATGTAAAAAATTGGGTTTGAAACAAGTGAAATTATAATTTTTGCAATTTAAATCTCTAAAGACCCAATACATCCAAACTTATTTCAAATAGTGTTCTCATTGTTTATGAACCCATTATGCATAAAAAAAAAACATTGATGTAATAAAATACTCCCATTGTGTGTGCTCACGCAGCCTACTCCCAAAGTGGTCTCTAGAATTCTGCACTGATAATTATTCTAATATAATTTAGATATCATCAACATCAAAAAAGAAAATTAGCTAGACCTCAATTAAAAATCCACAAATGATAGCAATACAATTATAAAGTAACTGTGAGAGGTGCAAAGAAAAAAATAAAATAAAAATAAATGAATAAAAAAATATAGAATTCTGTCAAATAAAATAATTATACTTATCTGTCTAATACCATCTATATTGGGTTACCTCTCAATCAATGCTTTGTTTATAGTTTTTATCTCGACTTTGTAGCAGATGACTTAAGTAAGAGTTAAGGTGGAGTTCGAATTCTCGAAATCCCTTCCAAAACATGGCTTTACATGTTGACCATTAACCTTAAACTTTTTCCCTTTTCGTTGAAGCTCAATGGTTCCATAAGGGAACACCTTAATGATGGTGAAAGGTCCTGTCCAACGGGATCACAACTTCTTTGGAAATAATCGAAGGTGTGTGTTAAGGAGATTACTAACATATACAAAATAAAGAAACATGAAATCCAAAATATTAATAAGACTTCGAAAATAGTAAAGTAAGTAGAATTTAAAGTAGAGTGAATAAGATCAAGGCGATTTTATTTTGTTTTGTTTGATACTTTTTTTAATTTTATTTCATTATGTTTTATATATTTTGTGTGCATGTCTCCGTTATGTAATACTATTTCATTCTTACTGAGCACATGAAACTCACCCTAATTCATACTCCATTTCATATAAGGAAAGAATAAAAGCAATTTCAGGATCATGGTAGATACTAAAGGAAACCTCCTAGCCTTTTTAGTTTAAATTTATGATGTAAATAAGAGTGAATTAAGATGTTCTTGTAATTACTTTTTATAATATAATGTCTAATGTATTTTGATTATAATTATTCCATTATAATATTAATGTATAGTGTTGTTGTATATGTAATATTTTTGTTGATTCCACTAATTGGAAATGGTGTGCATACATTTGTAACTCCCAAAATAGGGTCGAGATGTTACATATAGAGGTTATGGAACTTTAGCGAAGTTTCATTAATTTAGTCGAGTTATCATGTCATTATCCTTATTTTTTATACAAATAAATAAATATTTATTTAAAGTTATCTACATATGTCATTAACTTTACTATACCATAAATTTTTTTTCAATAAATATCTTTATTATTGTGAAATAAAAGATTTGAAGTTATTCGAGTTAATTTTTTCAATTGAAATTTGTATATTTTAATAATTATATGATATTTATATGTTAATGATAATATAATCAATAATATAATAATATTTAAATGATGATATATAAAAAATAGTACAGATTCAAAATAATATTATCATAAAAGTAAATAGAAGTATCAATTGTTCTTATTAATTACACATATCATACTTTGTTTAATGAAAAGCACTCAGACAAATTTTGCTAGTCCAAATTTCTTGTTCATACATCACTTTAGATTTTAGATTAGATTTCAACTTTGACATCGGAATTTAGTATGAAAAGTGATAATTAAATAAAATATGAAAATTCATTAGTTCGTAGAATTATTTATTTGATGATAGATATTTCTGAAACACCTCTAATAGAGAGATAAATAATCAATTTTGAAAGAACTTATTGTTAATATTTTTCATATTTTAATCTATATGTTTTAAAAGAGAATAATTTGCATCAGTATCTCAATTTCAATTTAAATATAGATTTAATTTATACTTTATATTCCAAGAAATATTTACCATTTAAAAGGAAGAAAAAATGGAGTCTTTGTTTAATAAAATGTATTAAGAAAGAGCATATGGATTAAAACATTTTAACAAGATAATTTTTTTTTTCAACTCTCTCAAAATGGAATTTAATTCAAACATAGAGAGTACAACTCTCTCAAAGAGAATTAAAAGAGACTATTGTAATTAAAAGCAAATTAATATTACAGCACCCAGAAATCACAGTTTCCAACCTTGTAAAATAAAAACCATAAATAATAACATTAATTATATTCCTAAATATAAACTTAAACCAAAATTAAAAGGGGTGCTGGTTGATTCTATCGGAACTTCAGTTGGTTGATGAGCCAGGCGACGCAGGTGCGCTGGATGGGTTGGTTTCCTCCCTCGGGCTCTCCGGCCTGGCCTCTGAACTACTCGCGCCTCCCCTCACCAGCTACGCAATTAATTCATCATTAGTTAATTAATTAATAAATTAACCTGATAATTAAGTATAAAATATTGGAATTAAATTGATTGAAATTACATATCCCACCTCAAAATACATCTGAAGTCTGGACTTTAATTCATTATACTCCCTTAGCAGCAATGGAAGCACTTCTTTTGCACTGTTAATAAACCATGCATAAGTTTTTTCAACCTTAATTATATATATTAATAATAATAAATTTAATGTTTAACAATATTATTAATGTTTATGTGTTAGAAAATTATTTTTATATATAAATTTACCCTCTCAGGTCTTGATCCTTCCAAAAACTGTCGATCCTGTTCAATTCTCTTAAAACCCCAATAGCCCCGACACTGCATAAATGATCATGAAAACAATAATACTAGTTTATAAATTATAATAACCTAAGAAACTCTAACCAGCTCGGGATTGTAAATTAAGCATTTAATTTAATTTTAAAATTTTATTTAAGCTAAATTATGTCTTTTATTTTGAGAAATATTAAAAATTACTGCATATGGTGATGATTAAGCTATGATTTCTCAAAAAAATTGAGGTAAATTGGATAATTATAAATATAATAATTTTTGGGTGTCTGAGAAAATTTATAATCCACGAATCAGTAAAACTTCAAAATTTTATAAGAACAAAGAAAATTGTTCTCCAAAAAAAGAAAAAAAAAATTTGCGGAAACAGAAAATAAGAAAATTTGAAAAATTAGGGTTTTTCCTCTGGATGAGAGAATGTATATATATATATAATTAGTCAAGATAGATGATATTAATATTAGTAATTATATATAAATTATAGAAACAAATTAAATAATTAATTGAATTGTTTGATTTTTATCTAAATGGTACCTGGCCGTGCTGCTCCTTAGGCGATTAATGCACCTATCCATGTCCTCGTAGTCGTAGTCCGAAGTATCACTGTTTGAATAATATATTTTTATAAATAAGATACAAAATTATTATTTGAATTTATAAGAAAAAAATATTCAGTTTAAGTAATATATATATATATATATATATATATAGGTACATTGCATGCTCAATTTTATGCAATATGGCAGGAAAGTCCGCGAAATAGAGCTCGAAAACCTCCACTACAACGTTTGGATTCTGATCATCTGCCAGGTTCTCCAGATAAACAAAGTGCTTGTCCAACATTCCCTGCAACGAACCCAAAATTGTATATTTCATATATAAACATAGTCATCTTTAGGTATACAAACACAGTAATTATTATAGACAACCTACAAATGGAAAAAACAAAAATAAAAACTATTTATGTATGCATGGTGTAAATAGCAGTTGGAAAAATTTTAAATTTTAAAATTTTAAAAACTATACAAAAACTATTTTGGTATATTATTATATTGAAAGTGAGAAGAAGTAAGAAAGAGTAATACAAACACTCAAATTTTTATTTGTGATTATTATTAAAAACTCTAAGTATATGAATGTATACAGGCACTAATACAATTTTTAAAATTCTAAATGTATAACTAATAATTAACTCTTAATTTATAAACTATAATCACCTAAAAAAATTTTAAATACCTGTATTGAAGTCTAATTTAGAAACCATAATTACCTACCAAAATTAAAAAATACATAGTTTCTAAATTATTATTTTTAACTTTTTAGAAGATAAAGAATTTCTTTTAACTTTTAAATTATTATTTTTAACAATACCAACTCAATAGCGACAATTGTTTTTTGAAAATGTAGAATTTTTTTTTTTTTTCATGATAGCAGAAGAACTAAAAGAAGATGGTAAATTGTTAATATCAATTTTTTAAAGAAAAAAACAGAACAATATTACTTGAAGATTTTATAATCGAATCTACATAAATTAAAGAGATCCGAAAGAAGAAAAAAATACCTCTTCAAAAAAGGAATTCCTCATGGCAGCAATTTGTTTGCTCATGGGATGGTTGTTCGCGGTTATGAGAAGAATGCGAATCGGGTTGAATGAAAGCAGAGCGGAAAGCAGATGGAGTAGAAAGGAAGTTAGAAGAGTTGATAGAATAATAATGGTAACCAAAATGTGTGTATATATAGCCCAATGAAGAAAAGAATTAAGCATGAAAAAGAAATGAGCATCATGAGAAAAG